ACTTAATTCTTGGCCCAGTTCCTAACTAGCTCATTGGTCTTGGGCCTCCTGGCCCATAACTAATCATCAAAGCCCATCTAAAGAAACAATCAATATATTGTCTTTTTCTCATGACTTTCACCTTTTTTTTCGGTTTATCGGAAATAATCTTCCTATCGCACTCTAATAAGGTAGGAGTAAAACTGATATATATTTTATTTTCACCAAAATTACTCTAATGTTATACTAGATATATTATCACATGTGGAGCCAGGTGGGGATTCTTGGGTTCGGACGAACCCAGTAGCTTCCGTCTCTGTATATTATTATTGTTTCTTTTTACTCCCATCACGATAAATTCCTCAGTCTCGTATTTTTTAAGATTCTTTGATGTTTTAGCTTTCTTCCTCAAATGAAAATAAAGTAAACATATTATACTCAACTTCACAAGTCATTTAACAATAGTGATATCATTTAAAAGGCATAGCATACAAATATGATCCTTAATTTGGCGTCAGTCGATAACTATGATCCTTAATTTTAAATGTACACAAATAAATACTTAAACTTTTATAAAATTAAAACAAGTAAACATGATACATATCAAACATTATGTAGAACACAAAATTTTCATATTAAATATCACGTAAAATGAATGTATCAATTTAAATAAATAATATGATATAGAAAGGTTTAACTATCTTCGACCAAAATTATTCATTCATTTGGAATTTCTACGAATATTTAGGTGGGTGGGCATACCGACCTACTCATCCATGTGCACGACGCGGATTACAGGGAATTTTAGCTAAACAATGGGTCCCACTTAACCATTTATTTGAATACATCATCATAACTACTCCAATAATTCTCCACCGTCCGATCAAAACACTCTCATCAATCAACCGTTCACTATAAAACAATGTTGGCCCTACACACAATTATGAAAAAAAATCAATCACCGTTTTAATGGTCCACACAAGAAGTTTCATACCAAGTCAATTACTAACACCTGTATACACAATTCTACTTTACCGGCTGCTTGTTTGTACTCGTTCGGACTCGAAAAAAATATTAAAAATATCTTTAAATTTGATGTGAGTTGCTAATTTCGTTTTATAACTGATGAAACATTAGAACTACCCCTCACACTTTTGTAGGAGTGCGAGATTATTAATAAACTAAAGAAGTGTTTGAGCAAGATCAGAGTATATTCAAAAAAGTACTTTTAAAACTGTCAAAATAGTTTGATAATAAAACTACTAATTCACGTCAAATCTAGAAATGTTTCCAATACCTGATTACTCATGTATATCAGTTCTAAATAATGTAGGAAATTACCGTTTCTTAATCACAAATCTCGAGTTTGAATTTGAATATAAAAAAATTCTAAATTTCCCTAAAATGAGGCTCTACACGACCGTAAATTCGAATTAGTTAAACTTCTAGCTAGTATCGAAGAAAAGAAAGGAAGTATATCTACTAGTTGGGAAAATTAACCGGTTTATGGAAAATTGACCGGAGCTGCCGGTTTGGTATTAAAAATATCTGTTTGGCTATAAAAGAATATTTTAATTAGAATTATTTAACTCTTTCTCGAAGGTCAATCAGTGGACTGGTTCGGTATGTCTAACCTCAAGTTCGGTTCTAAACCTAATAGGCTCGGTATTCCTGCCTATAAATACAAGACCTTAACAGCAGATAAGATTTCATACGTGTACGAGTTCGTCTCTGTAGCTGAAGAACAAAAAATCTGTTTAAAGGTATTGTAAAAACGCCATTATAGCTTCATTCAAGCTTTCAAGTATTTTTCTCGCTTCTAATCTGTCGATCTGTTGAATCCTATCTAGTTTTATATATATATATATATATATATATATATATATATATATATATATATATATATTTTATGTATATGTTGTTAGCTTCTGTTTTTATGAGTTATCTATGCTGATGCATGAAAATGTTTGAAAATTGTGATTAATTGTGATATATGTTGTTTGTTGAGTAGTTTTAGATTGGTTTCTGATGTCAATTTGAGTCAATATCTTGTACTTTTTGTTGATGAAATAGCGAAGACTATGGTTTTGAGTAGATCTGATGAGGATCGAGGAGTTTTTCGAGAAAGTGAGGTTAATTGTTATTGGATTATCTGAGAGAGGATGGGTGGAGCATGTTTGGCCGTGGAAAGATGAGTTTTTTGATTTGTATGACTGTTATGAGTTAGGGTTTGGAGTAGCGAGTTGAAATTGCAGTAGAAGAAGGCCAGTAATTGTGGTTATGTTGCTTGGACTCTTTTAAAAATGGTGATGGTTGCGTGTCTGATTGTCCAAAAGTAGTGTTTGGGTTTTTTGAAGGATCCGACACGGTGTGCCATCATTTTTGGAGAGTCCGAGCAACATAGATGTGAAGTATTTACCTCATGTCTGTTGCGCGATGGTTTTGACTGTGTAGTAATAGGTGCTAGATAGAATCATTGCTCAGAGTTTAGAAAGGATACTGCTGAAGTTTGGTTAGAGCTATATCCACCTAAGACGAGATAATTCGGGTTTTCTAAGTCGCATGTTGATTGAGAATGTTAATTTTCCTTTTCTGTAGTGTTCAGTTACCATACTTTGATAATATTTGTTCATGAATTGGTTTATTAGGCCAGGAAAAACTTCTACTTTAGTTCTGTGGGTGATTTTAATATTGAAGTTGAAACTCGACGTACTAAATATGGTCATATTCGGTATGTCATGCACTAACGTGTTTTTTGTTTTATCGAAAAACTTTAGGTATTAATTTCGAAAAAGCAATATGGCATTAGTTTCTGGAGGAAGATCAACGCTGAATCCAAATGCGCCCCTCTTTGTTCCTTCATTTGTGCGCCAGGTAGAGGATTTTTCACCAGAATGGTGGAACTTGGTGACAACTTCAACATGGTTCCATGACTACTGGATGAGCCAGAACCAGGGAGAGGAATATGGTGCTGGTAATGATGTTGCTGATTTGCTTCCTGAAAATATTGATCTCAATGTTGATGAGGACATCTTGAACATGGAAGCTCAGTTTGAGGAATTTCTTCAATCTTCCGAAAATGAGCAACAAGGAATTAAGTCATCTCTCTATGGTGTCAATGCGATGCCACAATATGGTATGCACAATCTGTCTATATCTTGTAATTAACCTACAGTCAGCAGAAAGATAATGTTCGGTTTGCATGGTTTACTGAAGTTTTAGTGCAGAACCTGTCTTGAAACCGAAAAAAGTGAGGAACCTTTAGTCAATTAGATCTTTATACTATAAACTCAACGAGTCTGGGGATCCCTGCTGGTGTCGGAATTTGTGTGAGCCTGTTGAAACAAGATGGGAAAATTCCTACATGCCTGGTCTTAGTTGTGATTATTTTTGGTGTTTACTATGGTTACTCTTGTATGATGATTTGCTTATAACTTGATAAAACAGGTTTACCATCTGATGCACTGATTAGAACATTGAGTTCACCAAGATCCCCCATTGGTCCACCCAAATACTTTGAGAAGCCATCCAAGATCGTGAGCCCGAGGAACAGTTTCCGCAGCATCCAGCAGCCTCGTTGAATTCCCAGTCTCTTGGTTTACTTTCAGGAAGTCAGATGTTAGTTTGCAGCAGTTTAGAAAGTCTTCAAGTTTTAGTTTCATGTAACCTTTGTATAGAGCAAGGTAGGTGTCACTCTTGTATCTAGCCTTGTTCATAGTCTGATATCCTTTCTTTAGCTTAACTTCATGTAAACAACAAAACTGTAAAAGACCAAAAAATTGTAAAAATCAGTTGAACAAAAGTGAAAAAAAGAGCAACTTTCAAGTTTCATTTCTCCATTAAACAACGCTCTGAGTTAAGGTCATTTAATTTGCTCCTCCTCTTCCTCTACTTTATTTTTTGTACTTAAATATATAAATTTGGACCTAAGATTATACTCTTGTGTCATAATTATGCAATTTGCAAGTAGTAACAAAGTCAGAAATTTTGATGAAGTGTGTGTGTGTTACAATATGATTTGCAGGAACATGTCCCTCACATCCTTTATGATCCCGGCGTATGGTCGGGATATAAAGGCAAATTCAAGATTTAAAACTCGTAGCAATCACAATTATGTTAAGTTGTTTAATGTTGACATGAACGGCCAAAAATTAGTGAAATTTGATGCTTTATCCTGCTTTTATATTCGTTTAAAATATACAGTACTTGTGTGGCTAAGTTATCAACACCAATAAAGTAGAAAAAGATGGCACTAGAAAAAGCATTATGTTGTCATGCAACGGTCAAATTCCATTCCTATTCATAATGACATATTCCCTTCAATTAACAAGAAGGTAAAAATGATTTTTACGAAAATATTTTTTAATTTTATGATCTTAAATATGTTATATGAATGAAATAAAAGTAAAAAATTTCAAAAAATTACTTTTATTATATTAAAACAAATTAAAAATAAGATATACAAATTAAAACGATGAGATATATAATAAAATAAAAGATGGAAAGCTAGGTTAGTGTTTGATAGAGTATGATTAAGCCACTTGTGTGCTGGACCCAAGAGCTAGTGGACAATTTGTAAATTGTAAATTATTTATACCTTTAATTATTTGGTTCCCTATAATGGCATGGTAATTAAAACATGATAAATGGAGTATTAGAATAAGTAAGTTTAGATCTCTTCTCAAAGTAAATCATGGGCAGAATACATGCCTTAATAATTATGTTTAAATAATCAATAACAAATTCGCAAATTAATTATTAATCGTACTGATATAGTTAGATACATCTATGCTTATTTTCGAAATGAGTATTTTTTCGTTATTTCTCAAATGTAATTGTGATAATACGGATATTAACAACTCGAAACTGTAATTTCAAAATTTACCTAATTGAACCTTAATGAGTAAATTTTTTTTTTCATTTCTTTCTATATCCTTATATTTTAGTACAATATTATAAACATAGTGATTTGAAAAGTGTAAATTTAATTATGAGATTTATTATATTATTAAAAGATAACACTACAAAATATGCAAAATAAAACACACAAAAGATATTTGTACTCATTTTCGATATTCAGAAGCCCAGTAAACTTTCAGTAAAAAATATTATTCAGATTCCGGCGGCTTCCCGGCTGTTCGCCGACCAAAAGCCAGTAATAGCAAAACCCAGCTCCGGTATGTTCTAAAGCTTTAGCCTTTTATTATTATTTGTTCTTTCTTGAGCTGATTTGAGCTTATTCTCAACTAATTTGGGTCTCTGATATCATTTAATTATTCAAAATAAAAGTTTGGGGTTTGAAAATTCAATTGATTTTGATATATAAGCATGTAAAGGTAGAATCTTTATGACTGCATACCAAGTATTTGATGTGGAGCTGCAAAAAAGGAATTTTCTGAAACAGAAGTTATGGTTTTTTTTTGTTTTTTTTTTAGAATGTACTATTGCTAGAGTTTGGTTGAGCAGATGTCGAATCGCCTTTGGCTAGTTCGTGTGTTTACTTCTTCATAGTTTGAAACCCCTAAGTGAAAATCCTGGCTCCGCTAGTGTTTGGGGATTACACTCAGTGGTGGATCCAGGATTTTCATTAAGGAGGGTACGAAAAAAAAGAGTAGTGGTTTGAACTACTAAGCCAACCTCTAATCTTATATTTAGGAGGTTCAAAATTAATATGTAAACATAAAAATTCTTTAAAATACCTTAAATATACAACGTGGGCATACTCTAGGTCCGCCACTGATTACAGTGGGTATATTGTTGTAATAATGCTGGAGAGAGCTAGTAGGATCTCATGAGGGGACCAATCATTTGCAAGACTTATTTCAACTTCATGAAGGCAAAGTTGTTAAAAGATGTTTAAAGAACCTTGTTTTTTGGTTAGTTGGATAGATATATGTACTCGACAAAATTTACAAGTTAAGGTTAGCTCTAGAGATCCTTGATAGTTCATTGATGTCAACCAAATTAGTCTTTTGAAAGTAGTTCCTAGAATGTCTACGCATACTGCGTCATTTGCAAATACCGTAGGAACTATCAAAATACTTAGCTTATCAAAAAGTTTCTTCTTATCTCCTCCTTAGCAAGAAGGTCAGCCAACCTATTTTGCTCTCGGTAGTTATGTTTGATGACTGTATTTCCCAGTCCTTGCATCAATAACCTGCGTTCAGAAGTAATAGAAGAGTGAGGATGTGTCCTTGATTAATCATTTTATTACCTCCATAGGACCAAATTGCTAGGACATAATTGATCACATGACCTGCTTTAGTTTGCAATATTTATGAGGATTTTTTTTTTGTATAACCATCTGGTATCCAGTTCGAGCCCCTGTGAATGGTGAATCCCCTGTAACGACTTCTTTTATGAGTATCCAATGACAGGTCACATGGACATGCCAAAAGGAGACAAACTTGTTCTAAGGGGTTTAAAATTTCATGGATACCATGGGGTGAAGCAAGAGGAAAGGAAGCTTGGTCAGAAGTTCCTGGTAGATGTTGATGCTTGGATGGATCTTCGATCTGCTGGTGAATCCGACTGCTTGTCCGATACTCTAAGTTATACTGATATATACAGGTGAGTGATGCTTTCGAGTTTAATCATTTTGCATTTTTGAGAGTTGAGATGAATGAACAGAACAAACTTGATTTCATAGCTTAATAAATGAAACATCTCGAACGTTTATGTAACAAGGTTCTATTGCTCAGAGGTCAGTTTTAATAATACTCTTTTCACCAGATAGAAAATATACTAGGCTTGAGCAGTTTCACCAGAGTTAAACCGGAAGAGATGAATAGAACAGTACAGACGAGACCTCAGAATTGGGTTTTAAACTTCTGTAAAAGGACTAATGATTTTATAAGTTCTCGTAGTAAGAACTTGACTCATTTGAAACATCTTCGAGAGCACACTGAAGCAGATTTTTTGATGTTATGTAGTTTCTTGGATATTCCATCATACATGGGAATTTTGATGCCACTGCTAGAGGCTCTTGTAATCTCCTACTTTCTTGAGGAAACATTGGACTATTGCCTAATTATTATTTATCTTAGAGTAGTTCACTTTGCACCTAAGGGCGGGATCTAGTGGTCTGGATCCTGATAACTCAAGTAAAATCTCTTGACAGCGTGTGGCAATAAGAAAAGCCCGAAATTCCAATAGCTTAATCAGTGATATAAGGTAACTTTCTATTGGCGCTAACTGATCTCCTGGACGGTGTTTGCTTGTAAGTTACAGTTTCTTTTCTTGTCTTACCAAATCTTAAGAATAAACATTTTCACAGATCAATTTTCTAGCTTGGTTCGTATGCTTTTTTTGGCGTGATCATTCATTGGTTCTATCTTTTAAATCTACAAATTGGCAGACTAGTTAAAGAGGTTATGGAGGGGCCACCTAAAAATCTGCTAGAATCTGTGGCTCAACTCATTGCATCGACAACCCTCACCAAGTATCCAGAGGTATCTGCTGTTCGCGTTCAAGTTGGAAAGCCTCATGTGGCCGTCCAAGGGCCTGTTGACTACTTGGGTGTCGAGATCATTAGATACAGAAGTCTTGATGTTCAAAACTAGGACAGTAATATGCTTTGTATTATTAGCAACTTCAAATTTCTGCTGTTTGACAATCATTTTCAAGCCAGTACAATTTGATCAATTGTCATCACTCTTGATGCTTAATTGACTTACCTTTCCTGTTGCACACTTCTGCAGTGACACAAACTTCCCAAAAATAAAAGGGCAGTTCGGTGCATGATGCATTCCACGTTCACACAGGTTTTGGTTCAATCTACCTGGAGCAAGCATCATTGATTTCGTAGTTCGAACACTTTACCATTGCTCAAAACAAGAATATAGAAATACAAGTGACATTTAATCTACCTTGAGCAAGCATCATTGATTTCGTAATTCAAACACTTTACCATTGCTCAAAACAAGAATATATAAACACAAGTTTCGTAAGTGACATTTCACTCGATTGTCTGCTCCTTATACAATCATCACTACCATCATAATTCTGTTTGCTTAGATTATATATAGATATTATTGAAATAATATTTTTTACTTGCTAATCAAAATCATATACTATTATAAGTGGGAAGCTCAAAGTGAAAAGTTAAATTACCATTTTGTCCTTTTATTAAATTAAAATTTGATTAATTATTTAATTAAATACAAATATTTTAATTACATAATAGTAAAATCTAAGTCCTTAAGCTCTTTAATAATTAAATTATTATTTTCTTGATTAAAACAAAATATTATAAAGTATAATATTAATTAAATATTAAAAAAATTACTCTTATCATATTTATTAATGAGTCTAAGTTCAAATAATCTCATATTTGGAGAATATGAAAAGTCTCGTTACAGAATCTCATATTAGTTAAAGGAGAGCAGTTACAATTACACTCTTCAACTTTTGCTTTTCGTCTCTTTTAAAGTAGGCTCTTATTATTTTTTTGTGTGGATTTATTTTGTCAGAATTATTGCTAATTGCTTTTAGTGAGATCTGTATAGTTTATTTTTTATGATATTAATGAATTGCTAAACAATTGCAAGAGGTTTACTGTTAACCAACTTCTCTGTCTTGATGCTCAAATTGCACATTTGATCAAACAAACAAAGGTAAGTAACACTCTATTTGACATGGTACTGCTTGCGACAAGTTTATGTAATGTAAATCTTGACTTTTTTTTGAACACCATAAATGAACAAGGAAGTAAATTAAATCATCATATTATCATGTGAAAATACGTTCAATTTTTTTTATAAAAAAAAATATAAGATAGGAGTTTAAAATTTACTGTCTGATGAAAACTTTTCAAGTTATGACTTTGTGGTAATTGGGGCACGAAAATGATAAGGAGAATTTATTGATCATAAATTATTTATGTATTTGTATGCATAATACTTGTTCTTCATCATAATTAACCATTTATTTTTAATTCATTTAAATTATAGAATTTAGAGGTATTTTAATTTTTGTGAAATCAAAATGTTATCTTTTTCTTTTGTCATTTTGATGTTACACTTTCAACCTCATTCTACAATTTTTGTATTTATTTCATTAATTATTATTCTCTTTGAATTTTAGAGACTACAAGGATAAAATTATTGAAGTGTCATCTTGACGTAAAATGCATGATTGGCTAATAAAAGAACATTTTTTTTGATAGCGCAAGTTAATTTTAAATTTCACTTAATCTAATGAAGCATTTCTAAATCTAACCAAAAATCTAAACAATCCTATTATTTGTGCTCTATTTGGGGTTTTGTAATAATATATACGTATGTTCATATTTTTTTTGTAAATTTGTTAAATATTTTATATACATTTATTAAATTTAGAGAAAGAATGTAACATTTTGATTTTTGTACTTCTGTCCAACAATAGTTGATAGTATTTTTGGGATGTTCACCAAAATGTCTACTTTATGAAATTAATGTACAATTTTACACTTAGTTCCTAATTTATCCTTATCATCAATTATATTTATTTCCTTATTACATTTTTCAAGACATTGTATTTATTATATTCAAATAGTGATATGGTAAAATTAATCTGCTATATATAGTTTCTTAAGAAGGGTATAAAGTCAAGGAAATAGTGGATAAATATTATTGGATTGATGGAGTAATATTTTATATTTTGCAGAAACTTTATAATAATTGAGGGGTAATGTACAACGCACGTTCCTCAAAACTAGTAAAAAAAAAGTATGAAAAACTTTAGTTTAAAAAAAAGAGTATTTTTCCAGAAAAATAATTTTCGAGAAAGATATTTCTCTGTACCAAACAACTTTTTAACAGTACATCTTGTTATAACAATTTAAAACTAATCATAACATCAATTTTTTGGAAAATGAATTACGTAGTTACAAAATATCTTGAGATATTTCACACAATAATATCGAGACAAAATATCTTGAGATATTTCACACAATAATATCGTAATTATAATTTACTTGAATCAAGAGTTTATCGAAAAATACCATTTCTACATTTCACAAGATACGAATATCAAAAAATATCATCTCTACATTTTAGAAGATATAAATAAGACTACATACATACCATTCTTTTTCGACTATGATAATAATATTTGGGGATATTTTTCTTAGACCATAGAAAAATATAAAAATAAGAATGTGGCACGTGCACATCACCTGCACCACTCTCCATTTACCAAAACCCGTGTTCTTCGCGGCGGCCGGAAAATCAAGAAACATTTTATCCACCACCAGTCTACTACCAGTATGGCTAAAATGGCGGCTGACCCTTTTTCTGTACGGATAGAAGCTACTTGTTCGTCTTGTCCATTGAACCTTCGAAGCTCAAAGACAGCAACTTTTCGAATTCAAGCTCATAATAATCAGCACACAGATGACAAGAACAGATTCTACAAAGAGCTTGGTTTGTTTCTTCTCTTCTCTGCTTGTGTTCTTGTTTTAGACATAAAGTAAATCTAACAAACAAAAAAAAGAAGTTAACATTTTTAGTAGTTTTTAAGTTTGAGTTAATGGTTAAAAACACTCCTGAAGTCTGAACTATCACTTTTTCGTAGTTCAGCTATTTATTGTTCTATTTAGCTTTGCGAGTTTCATGCCTCAATTATCACTCCTGTTTGTATTAAAACACACTTAAGATGCAGAGTTGGTCTAAGTGTGTTTGTTGTCACTTGGGAATAAATATTTGGCCAATTCAACATCAAGGTTTGTTTCAATACAAAGAGATTTATAATGCGTGTATCCTTAGAAACAATAATAGGTAATATAATTGAAGAAGAAGATGGCCATATACATAAAAGTCGTGTTCTTTCATGAACAAATGACTTTTCATAACAGTCATGTTCTTTCACAAACAGATGTGTTTATTCAATTTAAGACCTCTATATATTACAAAAATCAAAATATCCAACATGTATAGTAAGTACTAATCTGTTAATTGTTGATGGTATTGATGATTTCATAATGTAGGAACATTTGCTTTGAAAAGGAAGATTGAAGATTTGGTACTCCGTGCTGAAATGTTAGCACCAACAGCACTGGAATTTGAAGAAGCAAGACGCCTCAAACAGGAAGAAATTATTCGGGAATATGATTTGTGGGATGATGTAGCCAAGTCAAATGAGGACCTTGTGCAATTAGCTGAAAGCGCCAAGGCCGTTGATGCCCTCAAAGACCTTAGATACAAGGTGTCATGCAAGATAACTTTAAAGCTAATTCTCACTTGTCAGCATATGTTTATTGCCTAGTTATTTAAGACTTAAAACGGAAAACCATCAAACTCAAATTCTATTGCATTGAGTGTGATTCTGCAGGCTGAAGAAGCTAAGTTGATTACGGAGCTAGCAGGAATGGATTCTATCAACTATGACTTTCTAAAGCAGGCTTATACAGCTTGTGTCAGTGTGAATAAGACATTAGATAAGTATGAAATGTCCAAGCTTCTTAGGGAGCCATATGATATGGAGGGAGCATGTGTCACCATTGAATCTGGAAGCGAGGGCATTTACTCGAAGGTATTCACCTGTGATCTCTTGCTATAATCCCGCATGTACTTGCTGAGTCAATAGTAAAGGTCCATATGCATCTCAGGTGAAAAAGGAGGCCAGTAAGTGTTCTGAAATATAAACGTGCTATTAGCTAGGTATAAGAAGTGGAACTTTCATGATGAGTTCCCTGCATTTGAAGTTGCAAGGAGGGAAGGGGGTTATAATTGTATTATCAGTGCCCTTGCTCCTTATTACTGTTGCTTATATACTCATCTCAACCATAAAGTTAATAGTCTATCTGCACCATAGATTCTTCTCCCTAGAAGATTCAAACTTGTACTGTGAGAAACTTATTTTACATGGAAATGATTCTGAACTTCCAATTTTTTGTTCTTTTATGGAAAACATCGAATTTCAGAGAGGAGGTGGTAGTTTGTAGACCTGATGCCTGATAAGGATTTATAGTTGAGATTAGAAAGTAGGTATACTAGCCTTCTGCTCCTAGCAATTCGTCTTCAAGCTGCTCATGAGCATCTATTTATTCTACTTATTCAAAATCGAAGAGATGGTTTTTCTTCAAGCTGATGTAGTTTTATTTCCTTAGAAATTTCATTCTAGGCAAGACTATGGTACTGTTTCTCAATGATAGACTTATCCACTTTGATCCAGATTTGGGCAGAAAAACTCACAAGAATGTATATCAAATGGGCAGAAAAACAAGGTCATAAGGCGAGGATAGTTGAGAAACAAGATTCAGAGAGTGGTGGTATCAAATATGTGATGATTGAGTTAGAATTTAAGTCAGCATATGGCTATCTTTCAGGGGAAAGAGGAATCCATTGCATGAATGGAAGTTCTGAAGGTAAATTTGATCTTTCAAAGGTATGAATTAGAGGACTCTTAGCTCAAATTTAGTTCTCCCCTGTCGCTATCAGTTGATTATGTGGAATTATAATATTCCAATAGTTTCCTATTTCCTACTATCCTTTGAGTTATGTGTTCTATGAGAGTCATTTGACATATTCTTGTTGGCCTTTTAAGAGGAGAACATTTTTCATGTGTTGTCTTAAATCTCAGTATTCTGATGCATTCTGCTTAAGAGTTTAGTTTATCTGAAGTGAATAAATCACAACCGCTGACCGTTAGTTCAAAAATTCTCTGTAATCTATTTCAGGTCATAAAATGTGATTACTACCTAGTAATGTTATGAAGGAAACTTGATTATCCAACATTTAACTGAAAAGGAGAAAATATAATATAGTTATCATGGTGCGGTATTTTTGCATAGATAAAATAAAGTACAACAAGTTTTGAGTGGAAGTATTATAAAAATTGATGATTTATGAAACAAGCTAAAATTTACCATGCTTCGATGCAGTTCAATAGTCAGTGGAATAAGGGGTGACTTATGAGTTAACAATAGTCAGTACTCAGTAGAATAAGGAGTAAAAACAATCATATGACGCAAAGTACAGTGATCTCATCCTATTACCAAACTTGCACTAAGATAAAACGACCCCCTTTCATTTTCCAAGAACGTGGAATTCAAATCACTCGGTCATCGATTTTCATGATGAGGTATTGCTTTTGCGAAGAAAGAGTTCCTTATGTGATGATGTCACAGAGACTTTATATGTCAGGAAAGAGGGGAACTTTAAAATGAATACTGAAATTCCTTTAAACTATTGGGAAGACAAAAACTTTAAACTTTTGAAGTAGTAGCTGACTAATGAAGGATGATGTTCGATACATGTTTGTCGAGCAATCATTATGTACCTTACATTAACACAACGGTCTATATGGCCGCTTGTATCCTCTTAGATGTTAATCAAAATGATAAAATTTACAGATTAATCTTAATGGATTGTGCAGGATGGAGCTGCTGCAATCGATGTTATTCCTCTTTTTCTTGAATCATCCCCTGACCTCCAAATTGATGAAAACGATCTAGAAATTACAACATCGTATGAAGAGGAACGGGGTAGGACTTCCCCTTCACTCATTATTCATCATATACCAACAGGATTGCAAGTCCAGTCAACAGGTAATAATGGGTGTTTTAAGTAGAGTATCATATAGGTGATTTATACTACTTTGATGTTTTTGGCACAATGATCTGTTTAAGGTTTCTAGATACACACATAATCTTCTCTATATTTTATGTGTGTAGAAAATTTAATTTGGTGTGCCTATGGATCTGAATATCCACGAAAGTCCGTCCCAACAATTGTTGCAGAGTGCAGAAGTTAGGCAGTATCACCTGGAGAGTAGTATTCTAGATTTTAAGTCGAATGTTTATTACCATAATAAGTTGTCGATTAGGAAAGAAAAATAAACTTTTGCAGTTTGTCCTGCTGATCGTAGAGAAGTTAGGCAGTCATACATGCTATAGCTCTAATTGATAATAATGAATGCATAAGTTCTTGATAAGAAATACTTTGAAGGGAAGTATCTTGCAACTCTCTTGGTTTTCCTTTCTCCTAGGTCAGAACGATGAGAACCGAAGAATCATATGTCAAGAAGCACTGTTTATAAAGGGTATGATATATTACATGACAGGGAAACTTCTTCTATGATTCGTCTCCAGTTAAAGGATTGGATGCATTTTCAACAAGCAAACGATTTAAATGTCTATAGGGCATCCGATAGAACATAATAAGTTTATATAATACATTGAGTTGTTACATATCATTGTAATCATGTGGACACCGTATTTAAGTGTGTCACTAATGATACCACTGTTAATTGAACTTAAAAGAATTGCTTGAATGTTGGGCGCATTCAGGGAAGTTTTCTTGTCCGTTGGTCATTCAAAAGTCATACTGCATATAAAAGTGATGCATTACATTTCGGAGAAAAAAAGGTTGTGTTTCAAGATTCTGCAGTAGATCGTATACTACTACATGGTTGATAGATGCATGATAGGTGCTGGAGATACTGTCTTATATTCAATATTCCATGACAGCCGTGAGATACAGTCCAAGATATTTGTGTCCAACACAACCGTTGTTGCCTTCCTAGGAGAACCCATGCTCTAAATTTGTAGCTCTGAGCCTCTGACTAGTACTTTTGCCTGTGCAAGATGAATGTTTATTCTCCACACATCTAAAATCTCTTTTGGTTTCTCAATGTTTTATTATTTTGGGCCACTCTCTACCATGATAGTTTCTATTTACAGGTGAAAGAAGTCGTTTTGCCAATAAGCTCAAGGCTCTGAATCGCTTAAAGGCAAAGCTTCTCATTGTAATGAGGGAGCAAGGAGTCTCAAACTTGGCTAGCATCAGAAGTAGTGATATGTCTAGTAGTTGGAACCAAGTGATAAGGAGGTATGTTTTTCATCCAAACAAACTGGTACAAGATATGAAGACGGGCGTCCAGTTGTCTGACCTTACTGCTGTGTTAAACGGAAACATTGAACCATTTATCGGTGCTCACATCAACAGTAGAAGACATTAAATCCCATGATACACATAGCTTTCTACTCTCATGCAAAAAAAAGAAGAAAGAAAGACATTTTATGATAGAAAAGATGAAGGGTGGGAGAGAAAAGCAGTCACTGCTCCATCTTCTTGTATTCTTAAGTTGGTGGTAACTTATGAAGTAGTTGTCCTCTACAAATCTGTAAAAATTTTGCTTTTAACGTCTATCGAAGACAACCGAGTAGAGGGGTAAGGGTGCGTACACACCACCGTCCCCAGACCCAATGGGATTATACAGAGTATGTTGTTGTAAGAGAGATTTATTTCAATTTTATTTATTTATTGTGTATCATATCAAGCTAGCGTAGTACAAAAGAGGTTGATTCTCCATTTGCAGAGTCCCTCATATGACAATAATTTTACCAGCTACTCTGAGGAGTTGCGCCAAGGCTACCCTTCTACGATGCACAATAGCACTATAATATAAAATAATTCAATTGAAAGCAATAATTTTTTTATAAAATAATTAATTCGATCAAGCATAGAACTTTGGCACTATCACAAGAAAAATAAAGTTGCACCATTTCATCTCTCATCAAAAACATTATACAAGGCGTTTACATTCTTTGCAGTCTAACAAAGAAGTTTTTTGCAAAGAGAAACAAATTTACATGAGACCTATTATTGAGTAAAATATCACAAGCTCACAAAGTGAACTTATGGGGAAAAAGAATATGACTCTCAAGTAAATAACAAATTTCTTTAGGAAAATAAAGCTTCTAAATAGTCATCAACATAAGCTAGGCATGGCCAGTGATCTGTTCGAATTCGAACGAGTGTGGAGGTATTAGAGACTTCCATCTGAAAAAGGAGGTGAAATCTTGGAGGAAGGAATATCAAAATCTGAATAATGCCTAGGTTTTTCTTACTAATTTGGACATAACCTCCTCCTCCATCATCTTCATCATCATTGTACTTGAGGTAAAGGGGTCCCCCAACTAAACTGGTTTCCGCGATGGTATCATCGGTGGAAGAGGAACTCAAGTGAATCTCATCCCATGTTATGTCTCTTATAACTCCTCCCTCCTTCATGAGGTTGGTCAGAGAATCACCGGTTACACATACTATAAAAGGTGCCAAGGATCGCTCTACAGCTTGGATCAAAGATGTCACAGGAACCTCAAGTAATTTCACGGAGCGAGTACCACTGATTGCTGCGACCCCTTTGCCTCCTTTAAGTACAAATGTCTCCCGCCCAGTGCTGGTTGAAGTGCCACATGCTTCCCACAAAGCATTAAACAGATCAACGTAGTAACCGCGTTCTGCATCTTCAGGGATGTCATCTGGAACAATAGCTTTGAGAAACATATCTTCAATTCCTACTGTAATGTTATGCAGCTGCCCTCTAATGATCTGACCATTATCTGCATTCGTTTCAATGAAAACATCAACAAAACCAGGTATTGGATCCTGTGGTTCCAATTCAATCAGAACAGGAGCTTTGAAGCTTTTGTCATCTCCAGGAGTTTCAGAAACATCTTCCACAGGGATGATATCAAGGGAATTCGTCTCGCTAAAAGAGTAGAAACCTTTGGGGGGTTGACCTAGAAGAAAAGGAACATGGCATGATGGAATGGAGCCATACGGCGCAGAAGAAGAGAACTTGAGAACAGTTGCATATAAGGCAGGAAGGGTATCGACTCCGTTAGCTGGCATATTGTTTCCCCAAATGCGACTGAAGGGCTCTGACTCGAACCTTAAAGCACAGGATATTTTGATCTTGGCACCAGGCATGTGTCTGAAGTCAGGAATAAATGAAAAATGTTTCCTCAAGATTTCAACTATCTGTGAAATCTTTGAATCCATAACACGTAATGGCTCCGGTGGCTGATTGTGCCCATTGGCTTCAGAGATCACTGTATCATCAGTATTTTTGTCAAACTCACTTTGCTCACGTGGGGGCGCGTTGTCCTTGATGGGTTCTATATAACTAGGTTTCTTGGCATCAAATCCCAGGGCTGGCAGGGACAAAGACCAAGATTGTTTAACCAACAATGGCACCATGCGCTCAAGATGCACGCAGGATGAAATATTCCTAGATTTCTTGGGGTCGTGAGAAAGTCTAGGTGACTGAACACTGAAGAAAGAGTTGGAATGGCTAGATGGAGAAATTCCAGGAAGCAAGTCCCCACTGTTTAGAATGTCTCTTAACTTTTTCCCAGGAACACAAATCAGCATCCGCAGGTATATTCTGCAAAATCTCACCAAATGTTAGAAAACAATACTATATTGCACACTCAATATGTTTATTTCCCCCAGTTAATCCTACAAATTGCAAATTCAATGTGAACAAGCTTCTCAATGTTTTTGACATCTGTCATTTGCAGTGAACAGGTGACTATATAAACAATGTGTACATCCCAACAGAACGAGGTAAGAAATGGGATGAAGATATTTCTCATAGTATTACCTGGCATTATCACGAACCTCCAGATCTGGGAAGTAAAGACAAGTGAATGATAAAAGACGAGACAGCCCAACAAATAATTTGGAACTATAGTGATGCATGATCATAGTTCGACAAATTCCAAGAACTTTACTCCCATGACTCCAAGACCTTAATCCTGTATCTGGACCATGTTTTTCAACAAGAATTACCATGAACTTGGTAAGGAGCTCTATTAACCCACTAGGTGAAACTTTATCACTCTCAGCAATCCTTCCCAATATACAGAAATAAGATACCAATTTGTAGTCTATCTTGAGTTTTGGAAGCAAGTTATCATCAAATGTCTTAAGTAGCCGTTCTCCAAAAAATTGATGTTTGTAACATGTCAACAAGCGGTCTGTGAAGCTAACAATGACAGGGACCAATCCTCTATATTCCGACAAAGAGTCTATAAGTGATCTCTGCAAAACAAAAGTCAAGCTTCAGAAACATTTAGGCAAAAAATATATGAGCATCATTGCATAATCAGAGTAGAGTGTCAGGAGGAGATGCATCATCTTGTCATTCATTTCTAAACTCCTAAAGACAAACTCCAATAACACCTTTAAGATATAGCTCGCCAGTTAAACTAATCAACATCCATATTTTGACAAGAAGATGGCAGACATCAAAGTTACACACGTGGCAGGGCACCTAAAGATGGCCTGAAGGAAGAACAAGTTTCACCTGAGAATCCAACCTAATCTTATGCAGCAAAAGAGACTCAAAAGAGTGATGTACATTGTTGGAGAGTTGCGGTGCATGCAGATTCTTTTCACCAAACTTTCATTAAAGCGCATCTTCTAGACCTCTCTATTATGCTACAGCCTTCTAACCTTCTTTCATCAATGATATGTTTTCCTCTATACTTTCTAATTCAAACAGATCAAGTAGAAGGGAAAAGAAGAAAAAATCTAACAACTGTTTGCACATAGAGACACAAAGTGCAAAGAATGTATAAGCTCTTTCCTTTAGTGGAGCACCAAATGCGTCAAACCAATGCCACAGGCTCAAAGTAAGAATGGAGCAACAGGTACAAAGTATGTGTACCTGCACAGTGTGGTAGATTGCTGGCTCCAAAAGGCTTTTATTGGAGATAGAATCATTTTCTGAGTGAGATGTCTGACCGATCAAAAACTTATGGATTGCACGGAATGCCACAGAAGTTTCCGTACTCCAAGGAGGCAACCATTTAAAAGATGATACACAAACAAGGCCATCTTCAAATAACTTTTCCCGAGTTATTTGTGGACTGCCTTTTGAACTCCTTACTCCGTTGTCATTATCAATCAAAACTGAACAATAGGCAAGCAAGTCAAGCTTCAATGATTTCAAAGCGAGGGGATCAAACACCGACGGGTAAAAGCTCAAGCTCATATCAACAACATTCTTCCTTTTCTCAAAATCCCTCTTCAATACCAACCCTATGAACCCAATTAACCAGTGCAGCACCAACAACCGAAAAAACAAATGATGCTGAGATTCTTTGGATAACAACAACAGTCGACTCGCAATTTCCATCTCTTGCCCTACGAAAGAATCCATATAGCTTAAGTACATAACTAAATATGCATGCCATAGCAATGGATCATATGTATGAAGCAATCCTGAAAACTGAACCTTCAACAAAGATGGCTGCAAATCCAATACTGCAGCAACTGGCAATGTCTTATCCATGAACTCCAATAACCCCCAAGGAGTCAAATTCTGTGGACATTCAAGCAAAAAAGCAACTACTCTCCTCAACTCCCTGTTACTTAAATCCGATAACTCCCCTTGAAAATGTCCATTTTTAACATTTTCATCAACCAAAAACCTAGGTACACTAAACGGAACCAACGTCGAAGAATTACTGAATGAAACAGTAGGTTTTAATCTAGCAATGTTATGAACAACAGTTGCTAACAATAATGCATAGCTTTGGGAAGCATGAGTACGCTCATTTTGGCACAAACTCCACAAATGTGATCCAATTTCCGAAAGTAAACAAGGAAAAGCAGTTTCTAATTCACGTAAACACTCGCAAGCAATTGATCGAGTTTGCCGGTCAACGCTATGATTCGGCCGGTTAATAATAGTTAACAAAAGCTCAATTAAACTTTCAAGAGGAGTAACAAAGCTAGAATCGAGACAACTCGATGTATAACCCACGTAATTAACGAAAATTGAAGTTGAGGAGATGAGAAACTGTTCCTTGAGAGCGAACGACGTTGAAACGCCGTCGTTTGGTGATTGGATTACTGACCGGAGGGCTTCGAGGAGACGGCTGAGGAAATTAGGTGAAACGATGTCGTTCTCGTCTGTGCTGAAGTGTTCTTCGATGAAGATGAGGAGCTGGAGTTTGAGATTGTGAGGGATATCTTTCCGGAGAAGTGATGAAAGTGTGAGGTCAAGAAGAGGAACGGCGGCGTAGTTGATGGAAGTCCACCGGAGCCGCCGTGAACCACCGTGGTTGTAATCGTCGATTAGATTTTCCCATTCTTGCGCCGATAAGGGTTTGAGTTCCGGTGACATTTGTTGGGTAATGACTCGGCCCGAGTCCGAGTCTTCAAAACTCGGTTGATTAATGGATCTTAGTTCTCATCATTTTATTTTGTCAGCTACACGACAATGTCCAAAGGTGACACTTAAACAATAGTACGTTTTAATTGATTATCTGAACACATAATAACGTGTTTTAACTACATATTTTCATCTACATAATTGATACTTGAAAACATGTGCAAAAAGTTTCAAAAGTTTGAGTCGGAAATATATCTAATAGAAATATTTTATCACGTGTTCAAATGTATCGGAACATGTTGTAGTTTGAGTGTCTAAATGAAATTTATCATCAAATTTAACGGATCGTTTGTGTATTCAATATATTTCTTTTTAGATGTGTATCCCTTTATCATTATCGAGTAATTGTTACTCCTTACATTTACTTTCACTCATCCAGTTTGAACGTAACTTTATACACCTCTTAAGAAAGTAATCGTTCTCTTCCTGTTGTGCTTAGAAGGATTTGAGTCTATTGAAGGAAATGGTCGTATGGAAGACGATCCAAAATTTGAACATTATGAGTTACAGATTTTTCAATGACGACTTCAAGTACTAATTAGGTTATTCAATCACATTTCGAGAAATAGTTTCAAACCTGAGTTAGTAGAAATAATTGCCTTATATAAGCATGTAGGATGAGTACATATCATGCGAAGGGTTGCTCTGTTTTCAAGTTGAGCAACGATTCGATTATTCAACTACATATTATAAGAAGAAAAGATCGACTAACTCTTATTCCGTAGCATAGTCTAGCTAGTTGAAACTGATTGGGTATTTTGGCTGCCTGTTTGGTGTAAACAGTCCAAAATGTTTCTCAATTTCAGGGCTCTTGAGATTTTCATTAAACAAGGCGAAAATGTAAGCCTCAATAGGCTTTGATGGTCTTTTCGGACTCCCTCTTTTCACATGTCTAATCAAGTTGTTGTTGTAAGTCCTCGCGTTGTCAATAGAGGTCAATTGCCCTGCTCCAGCTGAAGGCCAACCGCTCTCTGATACAACGATATCCAAAGATGAACCACCGGCTTTTTCAAGGGCCGAGTATGTAGCATCTAAGAGTGCATCAAATAAGTTGCGGTATTCTCTTCCATTATCATTCACAACAACTCCAGGGGATGTAAACAACGCGTAGTCAAGCTTAATAGCTTGATTGTTTGCTATTGCAAAGTATGGATATATGTTGACAAGTAAAGGTGAGCGGTTAGCTACTAAGAATCTAATGATGGGATCAACATACCCTCGGACGTTGTCTTTAAACTTGCCTCTTGATGGAGGGTAAGTATCTGTAGTAAGTTCGGTTTCAATAGCAGTAGAAACTTTGATCTGGTTTCCTAGACCAGCGCCAGAAATCGCGTTCTGAATGTTTCTCATTGCATTGATCACGAAAGGCACATACTGCGCGTTGCCATTTAATGGACTAACTTCATTTCCAACAGCTATATACCTGAACTTAACATTACCATAGTTCCTAACATTGTTTTGGACCCAAGCATTCGCGTTAGCTTGGCTAGACGCGATATTCTGAAGGTCAGGATTTGGCACGCCTAGTATGAGTTCAATATTCGAGCCTCTGAGGGCTTGGAGAGTTGGTTGATGAGGATCATAGATTCTCATTCTTCGTATATTGTTTCGATTACATAGAGCCACAACATCTGCTGGAGATGGTAATCCATTCCCATTTCTTCCATAACAAACTCCTGTTTGTGCACCTGTATAACAATATTATTGTCTATTAGCTCGTGATCATGATGAATCTATGTATATCACGACAACTAGAAAGATATAAGTTATACACACTGTCAGTATAACGATTTTTAAAACTGTGTAAGTACCTGTGAAATCTAAGGTAGCCAATATAAGTATCACCAGCAGAGTCGTCGCGGTAATTGGAAAATGTAGTTTGGTACAAGCCATGGTAATTGGCAAAGAAAAGAAAATTGAGCAGTGGATGAAATAGAAGAAAAGATTACACATTTTATAATGAAATTTTTATACTATGTTACTCTAATTTCCACATACAAGTCAAGTTAATCAATGGAAAAAATGTTACACCTTATTACAAGATGTAGAAAAGTCTGCAGCCCCTAAATTTCCTTGGTGAAAATGACTGGATGAAATAATGTGGAATTTGTTAGGCAGGTTTGCAATTAATTGTTGCATTAACCATTGAGGAAAATTTGTAGATTTTTAAGTCCGCCGGAAACAGATTTTCTACCTAAGGTTACGTAACACAGTACTACCCTCTCTTGATCTTACTTGTAGAATTATCCCGAAGATGTTGTTATTATTATTTCTCTTAGGACTAGTCTATCGAAAAAATAAACTTATCTATCTTCTCGAGGTAGGGACAGGATTTCGTAACAAACTACCATCTCCAGACTCCAGTTGTGGAATTGCGTTGCATATGTTATTGTTATTTCTCTTGGGATTAAACAAGAATATCCATTACTTGGATGCAAGATAATTGAAGTCTTGCACAAGAGACACTAGCTACTAACATGGCTGTAATATTTTGACAATTCAAAGTTTGGACTACTAGCATGTCACTAATTTCTAGATGCAATGTGCATACGAAGGATTATGTATAAGCAGTGTCGATCTGTTATCACAATTCGATTTATATACGGACTTTAGTATGAAATTCAAAAGTTTTACTTACTACTCCAAAATTTATCATTTTTCAAAAGGTTGTATTTAGTGATTAACTGTTTTTCAGAAATACATATATGTCGCGACTGTATGTCTCTTTAAAACGATGTTTAATGATGCAAATAAGTATATGTGTTTGTGAGAGATAGCAAGTACGTAATGATATTAATAGTTGTGAGAACAAGCTGACCTAGACACCGAACTTGTAAAAAGAATGCATTTGCTTCTACCGCTAGAGAGTTACTAGTACTTGTGTCAAATGTATCTTTGTAATATAATTGTAACTATAATTGAATTAGTTACCATTTTAAAAGTCATACATAATACGTATAGCAATGGTTAGCATGATATTATTGACTATATTAAACACTAGACACCATGACCAAGGGTGTGTTTGGTAAATATGATGATAGTTTTTTTTTAGAAAAAAAAAAGTGATTTTGTTACTTACTTACTGATATTTTAGTACGTAAGTAGAAAATATTATTTAAAAAATATTATATATAATCAATTCAAACACTATCGGAATAAGGGTGTGACGGAGGGTTATGATATTAGGCGTGTAGAATAATACTCGTGCAATTTATTTTCTCAACAATTACTATAAAAGTCATTTTTCCTTGTCTATAAGAAACTAATTTTTCTGGACAAAATAATATAAACTTTTAATTAAAAAATCATTCCCTCACTACCAAACACACCTTAATTATTGAAAATTTGCCAATTGATTTAGGTCTTGACAATAGAAATTGTCCTACATGTGTTAGGTTGAGTCCATGAAGGACTTAAAAGTCAGATGACAATATATATATATATATATATATATATATATATATATATATATATATATATATATATATATTCCTATTCTTTTTCTAATTAAAATAATTTTTTTTTAAATTTGTACCTTTTGAAAATATAAACTCATCATTCGGATATATATATATATATATATATATATATATATATATATATATATATTCCTATTCTTTTTCTATTAAAATAATTTTTTTAAATTTGTACCTTTTGAAAATATAAACTCATCATTCGGATACATTAATTCGGACAAGAAAAATCCTTTTGTTGCATTAAAAAAATGAAAAAAAAGTCCATTCTGGTTGCACTTAAAAAGAAACAAAAACGTAAATTAAATATCCAATTCATAAATTATGCAATATTGTTTTCAGTGCTAATAAATCTCTCCAAAGTAAAACAACATCAAAAAATTAAAATTTCAAATTTCTTTTCCAAGATTTTCAAAAATCTTTTCAATTTCGATTCAAAATTATTGAAAAATTGAGTCGATTCATCGTGAATATCTCTATTTTGTTGAGGCATTCAAGAAATTGAGAAAGTGAGATGAGTTGAATCAGCCATTACAGCTCGGAGATTGATGAGTTGAGAAAAATTTGGAGATTTGAGACATTATAGACACGAGTGTTGCTTTATCCCTATACAATTGTGTAAAGATGCTATCCATTTTTATTCAAAATTGTCAAAAAAAATTGAGATTCACAATTCTTCTCTCAGTTCATCGAAGATCTTTCAGCTTTGATTCAAAATAATTAAAAAAATATAGAGATTCAAAATTCTTCTCCCAATTTATCGAAGACCCTTTCAATTTTAATTCAAAATTGTCAAAAATTTGAAAAGATACATCATGAATATCTTCCTTAGTCTGTACTTGGAGGTGAAGAAATATGAGCGGAAATTTACAATGTATCAAGTATACATTTATACAACACAAAAAGGCTGGAGAGATGTTGTGTAATCGATTTTTGGATATCTGATCTCGAGATGTTGTGTAGTCGATTTTTTGTGAATAGTTGTATAATTGGTTATTGTAATGTTTCGGGTACATGCTCTAAGATTGTTAGAATTGTGATACTATGTGTTAGTTTGTTGTTACATAATTACCATAATTTGATACATAATAAAGTAGTCAATATTGTCACTGTTATGTATCAAATACCTATTATTGGAACTGATATATACTGCTCTAATTATAGAACATTATGATTAATGTATCAAGGTTATTTTTTGATATATATATACATATACATAGCCTTCTAAGTAGGATAAGATTGAACAAACATTAAAGATCGTAGATACATAACACAAAACTGATTTGATATTGTCTATGTAGCCTTTTAAATTTGAATAAGATTAAAGATATATTGTAGAACTTGATACATTAAGTAGTATGTATCAAATATATTTATATTGAGTAGGATAAACACGATATATACATCATTTCGTTGTTTATATCTATTTTCATGAAAATTTTCATCATCAAATATATCAAAAAATTGTGGATGAAAAAGCTAAAAAGGATTTTTTAAAAAAAAGATAATTCAAGAACCGGAAAGAATAAGAATTGATGAAGAAATAGTTCTATCTCTTTAGGA